ACCCGCAGCCAACAGGGGGCGCCCCGGTGGAGGCTGCCAACACGTGGCCATCAGGGTGCGCCTCAGCAGGTACCTCGGGCGTGCGGCCAGCAGGGGGCGCCCCGGTGGAGGCTGCCAACACGTGGCCATCAGGGTGCGCCTCAGCAGGTACCTCGGGCGTGCGGCCAGCAGGGGGCGGTGCCGCGGGCAGAGCGGTGGCAGCTGCAGCAGGCGGTGCCGTGGGCAGAGCGGCGGCAGCTGCAGCAGGCGGTGCCGCGGGCAGAGCGGCGGCATCAGGCAGGAGGGTCGCAGGCAGAGCGGTAGCATCAGGCAGGAGGTCAAGCACCTCAGCCAGGGCTTCCAGGATCGGTGCTTCCGGGCTGTGCGCTGTCCCTTTAAGGGCTTGCGGGACCCGCGGGATAGCGTCCAGCACTGCCCTGGCCTCTTTAAGCGCCAAACGAGTTCCCCTGAAGGGGGAAGCTGCCTGCGAAGGCAACTTTGTGACGGGGGTGATGTCCGGGGCGATCAGGGACTCCCCCCGATGACTGGCAGGGAAAGAAGCTGGGGAGAGAAAGGCAGCTCCCAGGGGAATTGTTGGGGTTTCTTCCGGTCTCTCTTTCGGCTTCTTTTTCTTTTACCTCCGGCTCGCGGTTGCGGAGGGAGACTGTGTTGTCTCCGTAGGGATGGGCGGCAGCTCCCTCATGTCGGCTGCGAGCGGCGTGACCAGCAGCCGCCTCCTGTCAGTCACGCGCTGTATCAGGAGCCGGAGGTTTTCATGCACCTCCGCCATGAGGTGCATGTTCTCGGGCGGGGACATCTCCATCAGGAGGTCGCCTCTCCGAATGGCTAAGTCCAGTGCCACCGGGTCCTCTTGGACCTCGGGCTGCTTCAGCCAGAAAAGCGCTTCCTGAAGCAGACCGAGACGTTGCTCCTCGGTCCGAAGAAGCGTTCTTTCATTCGACACTTATGATTACTTCAATTTTCCAGTTAATTGAATAAGTAATTTAATATCACCATCTAAAATCCTTTTACTTCACATTATGATGCTTTTTTCCAACAGTGAATAGGTGAAAAACTGATGTTTTTTGTGTAACATCTTAGGGTTGTTTCTTTCATTTTGTCTATTATCTGTCTTAATGGATCTCAACTTTGTGGCTGGGTCTTGAATACAAACTTAATTCATTTTTTTAAATAGTTAATTAATATTATTACATACATAAAAAAAAAATGTGCTCTATATTGTGGACAGTAATCACAACCAAAAGTATCATGATATGACATTTTGGCCGTATTGCTCATGCCTACTCCCTAATAATTTTCTGTCCACGGTCGTGTCCCCAACCCCTCATCTTCCCTCCTCCCAATAATGTTGCTTGATAGGTGAGGTAAAACACTTAGGGGAAACATATCTTTTGTTTGGAGATCCTTTGCAGTGTGGGATAAAAACATTAAATTCAGAGTGTATCCCTGCACTGCACCTCTTGGCTGCACCTAGAAATTCTATCTGTACAAGTTATGAACAGAATCAGTGACAAAGAGCATCTCTGGAGGAGTCCAGCACCCACTGGGAACAAGCTGATTTACTGCTGACAATGTGCACCAAGGTCTCATTTCAGTCATACAGGGACCTAATGGGTCCAGCGCCACACTCACCAAAAGCACCTCCTACCGGACCCCCCGAGGGACACCGTCATATGTCTACAAACACATGTAGACTGGTTGGTCAAACTCTCATGAACCCTCAAGTAACTCTTTATATCAACACAAATTAAATCTGACTCCAGTTTATGAAATTTAAGAATTGTTTTACAATTTTTTTATTATGATCTCCAGATAAGACAGGTTGTACTTAATTGTTCCAAAAATGTCAGTATAGGGAGCTGAAATACACTTATCTAGGTACTAATAAATTTAGTTTTTGGCAGGAATTAAACTGTTAAAATGATGTGAGGGGGATATAGGGCTCTCGTAGGAACAAACAGGCACGCTTAGGTTCACTCAGAAATATTTATTAAAAGTGATATAAAATATATGTATATCTCATCAGTCTAAAAAGAATACAAAGTATTATGCATATCGTAAACTGTGACAAGTAATCTCAGTAATAATCAATAATAATGCTACTAGCTATTTACATGCTATCATCACCCACCTTCACTCTTAGACTGGGAAGCCCGTTTCAGTCCTGGCAGGAGACCAACACGTGAGTCCCGAGAAAGTGCCAGGCGATGCACGCTCTATCCCACGGCTGTCAGCACTGGGATCTCCCCCTTCCTTTATACTAATTTTAGCGCTGTGTGCGGGCAGGGGACAAGTTGGCCAGGCTCAGCCCTCCCCTTAGGAAATGAGATCTAAATTTTCCAATTTTGTCCGGGTAACGCTGCTTGCAGTTTTGGTCAAAAATAATAAGATAAGTTCCCGTAATTAATATTTTCCCCTCTTCCTGAGGATGAGGTAAGTGTCCCACACACCAATCGCTAGGTATGGTTTCAGTCAAAAAACAATAAGACAAGTGTCCTTGGTCAATGCCTCCCTGGCCTCCTGAAGGCGAGATAAGCTCCCACATACCAATCCTAGGTACAACATATTGGGCCACCTGTTCTCCTTTTCAGGAAAGCAAAGTAAGCATCCTTCAACAGAGTGAGCATCCCGTAAATCAGAAATAACAAGATAAACATCCTAGAACAGAATAAGTTTCCCAGGACAAGAATTTTTAGGACTAGATAAGCATCCTGGCCCCTTTTATAAGAAACAAGTTATTTGTGAAAAACAAGTTATATAAGTAATCAGTAAAAAAACATGTTTGTGCAGTTCAACCATGGCACAATAATATTATGGGTGAATCATGGACAATGTATCTGAATTTCAGGATGGATAGTCCATACACGATCAGAATCAATCCACACCTCATACAGTATGTATATCTGCTAGGTGGAGTTGAACAATCACAACTGCTCAGAATATTACAGTAACAGGAGGACGGTGAACAACTCATATTAATTCTATGTTATGTGGGTGATGTAATTGTCCACGAGTTCATCCTAATACATAAACTAACACAAGAATATACAGTATTTACAAAGAAACTTGGTCGGAGGATATGAGTTTCCAAAACCTAGATACCGCAGGGCTTTGCCGATATATATGTTTAAAAGAACCAATAGAGCCACAGGTGTTGCGATGTGGCATAGTGCAGATGGGGAGAAGAAGGCAACAATGCACTGATGGCTCCAAAGAAACACCGGATTTATTAACAGAATAGACAACAAAGAAACAA